TAAACTACAAAAAAAGTTTACAGATTGATTTTTTCCTGATGCCATAACTCTGTGGTTAGTTGTTTTAGAAAATATTAACAGATGTTTCAATATAATGTTAACATATAGCTACTGTGTGAATTTATGTTTTGAATTTTCACTGCAAATGTCACATCCATAATGCTGGAATTGCTCAGACACCTCCTGACATGACACTCAGGCAACATTTCCAAAATCTTGCCGTTATTTATGACTTTAGGGAAAAACGAAAGAAAAAAAACTTGGCAAGAATCTGCATATGACACCTGACTAGCAGTCACGTGGACACAACAATAATTATATGATCCATTTATAGAGCCTTTGAACTCTTCTGTTACACCACTACAGCAAAGTGTAAACCTAGTTTCAATGAGCAAAGAACTCTAATCACAAAACCAATGGCATATACCATCAAAACAGCCTATATTATTTAGGTCTTGCTTTATTTTGAGGTACAATTATCGCAATTAACAAACTATTAACTATGACTTTTAATTCCATAAACGTCTAATTTGCTGTGTATTTAATAGTTATTAATGTAGTAGTTATGTTTCAGCGTCAATATGGCCATCTTATTATTTGCAATAGTCACTAGGCATGGACCGATATAAGATTCTGACAGTGTGATAGGCTTGAATAAAAATATGACGGTTTCACATAATTGTGTTTACTGCTCTAAAATATATTCTTTTTAAATGTCTGGGTATAAAAACTGAAACTTTTTCCCCCTTTGAACACAATATATTTTATTTTGAGAAACACTTAAAATATTTTGCACCAGCAAACACATCAGGCTAAATAATTCAGATGAATCGTTAATTCTGTTGCATTTATAAGTTTCAAAAACACAGATTTCTTTACAATTTAAAACAACATCTTTAGATATCTCTTCTGCTGGAGATACTTTTCTCAAAAAAAGAAATAAAATAAATAAATAAATGTAAAAAAAAAAAAAGAATAAAAAAATCTTACATTTACGGTAGGAATGGTATAACAGAAAATGTGGCGGCTTTAAAATCTTGACTTTTCCAAACCACTGTACAGCTTGAAAACAGTTATCGTCCCATTGCCTAATAGTCACATCGCAGGATCTGCAATGTTGAGTCTGTATTATAGTTGGTAGTTTGACTGTGCTTTTGAGGCCTGTGACTGTATAATGATTTTAAAAGCATTCAGGCACAAGAAATTGTATCGTCGTGAGTAACTTTAAAAATGAACAAATGCATTGAATTAGTTGGATTTTTATTATTCAATTACTGACTCTAAATACTGTTAAACGGAAAATGGTAAGAGACGTTTGTTTCAATTGTAACGCTTTTTTATTGTTTTTTATCAATGCTTGTAGAATCATCCCAATCTGTCTAAAATTGTAAATTTTAATCAATTGATGGGAATGATCAGTTAAACTTGCATAACAAAACTATTTGAAGTCTGGGTTCAATTGAGCTGAAGACAAGGACAATGCCAGGATTTGTACATTTGTAAAGTGTTTTTAATAAAGAACAAAAACCTGTGAACCAAAAAAATTACATATTTCTTTACAGAACAACCAACCATCAGTCCATTTAAAAAAAAATTTGTAACAAAATACTTTTTCTTCACTGTATTTATGTTCACAGACAGATAATATATGTTTTTGGTTGAATGTCCCATACATCATATCGCAATATACATTGCAAGATAACAAAATATCACAATGCTAGATTTTTACAATATCATGCAGCCCTATTTCAGATATCTGATTGGATTAGAAAAGTAGAATAAGATCATGCTAAATATGTCCTTAATATACAAGTATTGAGTAGGCCCCCACACAGAATCTGAGCGTGCAGAATTCAGCAGACTTTTAGCCCATTATTGATTCTGTTCATTTACTTGTGCAAATGTGTGTAAATTTATATTTATTCAGTTTTTAAATTCATTTCAGTATAATTATTGACTACTATGAACATATTCATGATTTATTTACAACACAGTTCGTAAAGTAATATTTTCTGTCTTTTAGTAGATATATTATATAAAAGACGTGGTTTGTTTACCAAATAAAGTGGCTCTAATAGGACCTGCATTGTAAACATAAAATAAAAGTTAAAAAGGTATTATTTTTTACTTAATATATTACGTTTTTAGCTATGATACTCCCAAAATCATTCTGCACAAATCCACAGATTTTTAACAAAATTATTCGCAAAAAAATGTCCACAGATTCTGTCTGGCCCTAATAATTAGCCTCTAGTTAATACTTAAACTAAGGAGTTAGCATTATTTATATATAGCAAACAACATAACTTGAGCCCAATGTTTTTAACAACTTAACTGAGATAAAACCCCATATCAGGAGTAAACTGAAGTAATTCAGAGGCTGCATGAACGTTTTTATATTCAAAAAGGGAGACTGCGAATATTCTAACAACTTTTGGCGTGCTTGGTAAACACATGAGTTTTTAAGAAGCGAGGGAATTGTAAACAGTGTAACAGCAAAGAGCCAATCAAAAATAGAGTACGTGCACAGGATAGCCAATCAAAAGGCAGAAAACGGGGGGCGTGTCTTTGGGCTCCTAAAGAGCAAAACACAAGGAAAGCAACAAACACCACCCCCACTGTCACCATCATCACCATCATCATCATCATCATCATCATCAGCCTGACCTTCATTTCCAAACTGAAGTTACACATTTCTGTTAGACAGATTAGACTAGGAACCGAGAGACGATACAGCAGTTAAAAGTGGAAGTGAAACTCGAGATAAAAACACACACAAAGGGCGAAAGACAACTTGCTCTACAAGGGAAAGTGATATCCATTAGTCAATCTCAGACATACACGGGGAGTAAAACATTAACGTAAAGTAAACACCATAGTGAGTTTACAAGGCAATCATCTGCTACATATTTCACAAAGAGGGTGTGTGCTGCTCAAAAAAGACGAGTCAAAACATTTCTACATGCTCGTGGTTACTGAAAAGTCTCAATGTCTCGTGTCAAATGTGTTTATAATAGTCTGATCTTACAGAAACCACAATGATAAAAACACCGTCTTCTTCTCAAGCACGTTGTCGACCAAAACAGAAGCACGTCCACAGCGCGCGTTGGCGCGTAAAGGTGACCATTGTGTGTAAAAATGATATATAAAGCAACTTACTCGTCTCCGTCGGGACATATCCCTGTTGTTTCATCATACTTCGTGCAATACACATCTGGGCTGTAATTAAAAGTCCCGTCTCTTCTCCGTATGGGTCTCCGTCTTCGCTGGTTTAGAAAATGCCAGTGGAAACATGTAAAGGGTCTATGCTGTGTGCATTTGTGCTGCAAAAACAGTGGGCACTGCTCGGTCCTGAACTCCTTCAAATATCTAGAATTCAGACAGAAAAGGCACGGTCAAACGCTTTATAATCAATCACATCCGCGCCAAACACCACTACGGACCGATGTAAACAAATCAGAATGGACAGAATGGGACGCAGGAATGTCAAACTACGTTCAAAGTTTGTGGCTGTATTCACTGCGTAGTTTCTTACACGCTGCCATTCCACAACAAAACTAGCCCCAGATAAACATTCCGCGACGCGTTCAGAAGCTAGAAACATACAATGATCGTTTTATGTGTTTGTGAACATCTACACAGGAACAAATTGTGTTTCGTAGTGTTAAAATTCCACCGTGAGCCATTTATCGAGGCTCTCCAGCATAACATTAGAAGCTTACGCCAAGTACTCCGCGATTAGCGTTCGGAGTTACGTTAAATCTTCGACGTACGTTCCATTCAAACCAATGGTGCGTACGCCGCGAAAAGAACGTAGAGCAAGAAACACGGGCCGAGGAAGGAGGCGGATGCAGCTAACAAACCAGCCTGCTAGCTACATCTAGCGAGCGTCTCAACTCGCTCGCTTTACTGCTGTGCAGTGTACATGTCTTCGAGCTCTCACACAAGCAGACATTGGCCAAATAAGCAAAGAGCACTTTCTTAAGTTTTACAATGCACATAGCGCGCGCAAAGCATTAAAACGGAAAATAAGTCCGCGTTTAGCGGAGATGAGATTGTTGATTTGATCAACATTGAGATTTGAGAGCCGCGTGCATTCGGAAGAATTTACAAAAGGAAAAGCACCATTTTAAAACGCACAGAGGGAGAGGAAACAGCACGCCTTACGATTATAAACCCGACAGGCGACTGTCGAATAGTCATCGCGTTGCGCAGAAATGTAATTTAGTCCGTTTAATGTTTACTTACGTATAGTGGGTTGGTTTCTCGGTTTGAGGAGAAGCGCTCGCCGCCGTTTTCGAAACCGACGGCATTTTCAGTCAAAACAATAATAGCGCGTGCGCGGGGACCCTCTCGTCTACTCATGCTCTCGCGCGCCGCTGCAAGGCCAATATGAGCAACTGGCGGGACAAACAAATAAAAGACAATGGCCATGCTGCATAGCACCACTGCTGTAACACGATTCCTCATCCTCACACAATAACCACACGCTTATTTGCTTGCAGTTACACGACGTTCGAACAAGCATAGGAAAAACACAATAAAACAAAAAAAGTATTTGCGTATCTGTAATTAATGTACGCTTTTTAATTTCCCCGAATCATTTTAAATTTATTTGAGTGTCGTGTAGTTTAATGTAGCGGCTGTGTTTATAGTTCTTTTTATTTCCTTACGTTTTGAATTTTAATGTGAACATATAACGTAATGTGTATTAAACATCTGCCAAGAATTGTGAATTTCGAAATAATTTTTCGAAAAGAATTTCAGTGGTAATAATTATTACACTTATTTTTTCAGGGCATATGAAATATTCAAAGTTGTATTTTATACAATAAAGCTAAATTGCACTATTCTGAAAGGTAAACAATGCAGATGAAGCGAAACATCAGAGGGGGAGCTGTGTTGCGTTGCACCAATGAGAAACAGAAACGTCACACGTGGGCGTATCTAAGGGACAAGCCTCAGAAATATATAAATAGAAGCCCAGCCCTCATATTTCAAATACAAGATCCGCCGAGTAGAAGATCGTGGTACAAAGAGGTTTGTGTAAGTAAGCTGTATTTTATTTTGGTAGAAATTATGGTAAAAGACAGTAATAGTAGTACTTACAGGAAAGCTAACTTTCAACTAATCTTCGAGTTATTTGCAGAGCTGGTCGGATTTTTGGGTTCTCGTGCTTAATGACAGATATTTTTCTGGCTAATTTATTATTAGCTTAGATTAATGTTGTGGATATCTCAGTAATACTTAATTGAATAATGTATGGAATTTTTATTATCACGTGTATGGCTTTTTGTCCTCGTAGCCTTGTATCGCATGTGGTATGTGGTAATTATGTGCTGCTTTATCAATCTACGTTTTTGCCCGCCATTTTGGACAATGGTTTGTTCAGCTTGTTCTTGACGGGGTCGAGTTGCCGGTTGTTGCATTGTTGCTGCATTCAAATAACTCTCCCTTGTGCCTCTGCGCATTTTCCCGCCGTTTCTAAGTCAGCTAATCTTTGCTATTCCCTTTGAAAGTGTGCTTGGTGTTGTGTTGAGGTTTGAGAGGGAAACTGTTTCTCTGCTGCAGATGGAGGCTGATGCCGGAGAGGTTGACCGAATATAACCGCTCGTGTTTTGGCGCAAATCTATTTCAGTAGCGTTTGTTTTATTTTAGGACACGTGCATGAAGTTTAGCTGATGTATAATAATTTCAACCTTTTATTACTGGTTTCAATTTACTTTGCACAATATTAGAATATGGTAATTTGTATGATTTATGTAGCTGCATCTTAGCGGAAGTGGTGCAAGCAGTCTGTAATACCCGGATGATGCCGCCATTTTAAGTCCACTGCTGTTTTTCTTTTTTAACCTCAAATGAATGCATTTATAACATTTTTGTGTTTTTCACCTAGAAATTGAAAAACAATGGCCCGTACTAAGCAGACCGCGCGTAAATCCACTGGAGGAAAGGCGCCAAGAAAACAGCTGGCAACTAAAGCCGCCAGGAAAAGCGCGCCCTCTACTGGAGGAGTGAAGAAGCCTCACAGATACAGGTGAGCGAATGAGACGCGCTGAGTGACATTAACAGACACAAAGATGTCTATCTTCTGTTTTACACGTTTAAATTTTTACATTTCAGGCCCGGAACTGTTGCTCTGAGAGAAATTCGTCGTTATCAGAAGTCAACAGAGTTGCTCATCCGCAAGTTGCCGTTTCAGCGTCTGGTCAGAGAAATCGCACAGGATTTCAAAACTGACCTGAGGTTCCAGAGTGCTGCTATTGGCGCTCTTCAGGTGAGATTATATTGTAATGAATATAAATATAACTTTATAGGAATGTATATAGGAGGTTAAATACGATTAATGTCTTATTTATTTTATTTCAACAGGAAGCAAGTGAGGCCTACCTTGTCGGTCTATTTGAGGACACCAACTTGTGCGCCATTCATGCCAAGAGAGTAACAATCATGCCCAAGGATATCCAGCTTGCAAGGCGAATCAGAGGAGAGAGGGCTTAATTTTTACTTTTTTTATTTCAACTTTTAAAGAGAAACACTCATAAGTAAAAGCAATGGATTTGTACATTGGAGTCATTTTGTAAAGCATTCCTTACAGACTCAGGTTTTTAAAGTGAGTGTGTCTAGATTTACATTTGTAGTGCTCATTGTAAGGCAGCTTTAGTTGCATGCTTAGTATTTATCTCTTCCTTTTTCTTTTCTTTTTCCATCGATCATTGGGTTGTAAATAAAATTTACTCTACCTCAAATCAATGCTTGTTTGTTGGGTTATTATTTAGGCATTGGTTTTAGTTGTACAGCTTAATTTAAAAATGACAAAGATTGAGTTTTTTTGTTTACCATAAATGGAGAGATAAAGGTTTGTAATTGAGTAAATTGGTGTTGTGGCCTGCATGTTGTTCATCATTCTTACACACTTTTACTCACAGCATATTGTTTAGTCTGCTGATTTGTTTGAGTTTAGAAACTGTTTACCTAGATGCATTTAGCCATTTTAATTTAATCAATTTTTAAAAGTTGGAGGCATTTTCTAAGTTACTCAGAGGTAAACATGTAAAGCCAAGCAGCTTGATGCCCTTACCCAGTACAAACCACGTCAAATATAAATAAAATATATATATATATTTTTATTATTTATTTATTTTTTTGTCGTTTTACACTACAAAATATGGTCATGAAAAAGTTGGAATTTTTGACATTACGTTTTCCAGACATGGCCTGTGGGGAGAAGTCATGGAATTTTAATAGCAAAAATTTGTATGAGCCCTGTATGTTGATGCATGACTTTAAACTTATTTGACTTAAACTTATAGCATGGCTAATAATCTCTCAACACTGACTGGTATTTAGCAAAACGCTTGTTTAGGATTGTTGATAAATTTAATATTTAGTTTGTGTTGTGGATGGCAAGCTACCACCTCACTAGAACTGAGCTAATCACACTGAACTGAACTTAAACATTAAAAACTGAACTACACTGCTCCAGTTACTATGACCATTTATGTGAAGCTGCTTTGACACAATCTACATTGTAAAAGCGCTATACAAATAATATAAAATACAAAAGCTGAATTGAATTGTATAGATTGCTAGAAATTAATTTAGTTTCTAATTCAGAATTCAAGAGACAGAAAACATGATGCCACACTGATCATTTCCTTTTAAAGGAATTCTCTCTCTCTCTCAATCTTTATATATATATATATATATATATAAATATATATATATATATAAAACCAAAGTTTAGTTTTGGCCCCTGGAAATTGGGGAAATTTTCACCACAATATATTGTGCATTTGCTAAGAAAAGTTGCAAAATGGAGGATAGACCTATTTAAAAAATGCTTCACTATTTCACTTGAAGAATCTATATAGGAATGTAAATAATTTCTTTTATACAATAAAAAAATAACAAAGAAAATCACCTTCAACCTCTTGCTTTTATGCATGTACATTATTTACGCCCCATTCAGTGCCAGTTATATGCACAAACATCAGCACATGAATATATAAAAAATATTTAGAGAAATAGAAACATGTAAATATTAACTTCCAGTGTTTTCTTTTCCTACTATTTAAGTCTATAGTTAACGGTTTCCAGCTTTCTTCAAAATATCTCTTTTTGTTTAATAGAAGAAGAAAACATGTAAAGATCTGCAACTGCTTAAGAAATTGTATACTGCGAAAATTATAATAAAAAATGGTGAACTATCCCTTTAATTCCCTTATGAAAATGAACCATGATTTTATTATAATAAATGAATAGAATAATTTCTTAGTATTTGTAACCTGAGAGGAATCCGGTGTTACTCGTTTTTTTTTTTTTTTTGCCTATACCACAGGCTATTATGCTGCTTTTTAGGCTGAATTGGTTTTGTTATAGTAATAATCTATTATTATAACTACACACACTGTTTAATTTTAGTTATTTAAGCTGGTTATGAATCGGATGTCTCTAGTATAAACAATTAACTGACAAATTTGGCGCCCTCTCGTGGTCCATAGAGACGTTGCATTTGTCAGATTTATAAATGATAATAATCTTTTGATTTAGTAACCCGAGTACTTAAGGTATAGGGCGTTTAAAGCCTAAAACAGACTTAAACACTCTTGTGCAACGCCATCATTTATCAATCTTGTTGTTACCTAACTCACCATGGTTTTCCCTTTTTTCACAGGAAAGATTTTAATATGTAAATGTAATTGTGAATCAGATTTTTTATTCAAACCCATATTACCTAAGCACATGCATTAATTCTCACTACCTTAATTACTTTGGACAAAAGACAGCCAACCTTTGGTGTTGAATGCTGTAAGTCTTGTGTTTTATAACCTTTCAGCTGGTCTTTATCTTCCCAACCACAAATAGTATAAAGTATCATTTTAATGGACTGATTTGATTAAGAAGAACTCTTTATTTGCTCAAATTTATTACAAAGTATATTTGTGGTTTGCAATGTTTGTTTTATGTGTGTGGATGCAGACAGTAAGCATGCTAACGCCGAAAACTATGAGACAGCAAGAGTTCCGATAAATAGATTCATTAAACCGCATCAAAAGAGAGAGCTCAGAGACCAACAGGACAGACATACGCAATGACGTCAGACTCCTCAACCCCGAGCCCCGTTTCAGTCCCAGCTGAAGACACACACTCTTCTCACAGGCTCTGTCTCAACCTTTTTCCTCACCCTTTGGACTTTATCGTTCTCGGAGTCATCCCATGTCTATTTATTTGTATTTATACAGATACAAAATTATCATGTCTCACTGGCTCTTTCCCGAGGGATCTACTGTGGGGGTCTGTTGCTCAGCTCCACTTTTTCATTCATCTCACTTTCCTGTGTCTTTTTGATGCTCACATCCTAACGCTGTTCTCAACATAGATCCTTTAGTTTTTATTAGAGACAAACAAACTTACTCAGACCCTGTCTGTTAGAGCTTCTCTTTGTTTCTTGCTTTAAGGCAGTTCTATGGGTAAGCATAATGCCCATTGATTAGTTCAGCCCTGCACACACCTGTCAAAATATCCCATGGTTAAATATGTGCTAGCTAGACAATAGCGCTGGCTCCAAACTAATCACTGGTTCATGCAGGTAAAACAAGGGGTACATGACAGCAAGACAAGTTTTAAAAATGGCAAGACTCTTGGATCATACAACAGAATTCTCTGGGATGATGAAACAAAGTTTGGACTGCTTGCCTGGAAAAAAACAAGCACCACTGATCACCAGACCAATACCAAACAGTCAAACATGGTGGTCCAGCGCTGTGGTTATGTATTCCAGAAGCAGAAACCAGCAGACCTCTGTAGTGTGTTTGAAGGGAAAGATGAATATAGCCACGCAAAGAAGTAACCTTGATGAAAATCTGCTCCTGGACCTTAGTCTGGAGCAACAGTTCATCTTTCAACAGCACAAAGACCGTAAGCAAGAGCCAAGATAATAAAGAAGTGTCCACGGTACAGCCTCTGTGAATGTCCCTAAGTGCGTACTCGCACTATGTACAGTTGCCTTGAACCGGGCCAAAGCACGCTTGTACCCTCTCCCGAAGGCCCGCACTCACGATTACATTCGGGCCTGGGCACGGATACGTCATCGATGCTGCACTGTTCAGTAAGCGCTCTCGCTCAGCACTGTGGAGATTTCTTTAATTATGTTGTCTAAGTCGTTTGATACACAGTGACACACAGTCAAATATTTTGCTGAACAGATCAGCCACTTTTGAAGCTCATAAACAACCATAGAGTACTCGTGCTGCAGGAATTAGGAGGTTTGCTGAAGGTACACAGCTGTCATGCAGTGAGGGGTTTGCCTCTTTAAAAACGGCGTCAGTTTGCGTTCACTGAACAGTAAGATTGACTAATAAATCCATTTCGAGCTTAGGCGCGTTTTGCACTCACACTGCAAGCGTACTGCGCCAGAGTGAACTGCCCGATTTAGAGCACTCACACTTCTCAAACAATCCGGGAAACGGACCTGGGCACGGTTCGGATAGTATAGTGTGAGTAGGCCCTAAATGGCCCAGCCAAAGTTCAGACCTAAACCCAATTGAACCTCCGTAGATAGATCTGAAAATGGCTATTCAGTGACACTCCTCTTCCAACCTGATGTTTTAGAGGTACTGCAAAGAGAAATGATAGAAACTGGCCAAAAACAGCTCCACCAAACTTGTAACATCAGGTTGCAATTGGTGCCAAAGGTGTTTCAAACAAGATTTCAAACAAAATCCTTTAAACTGTCATTATGCAGCATTGTTTCTTTTTATAAGTGTTGCTAAAAAAGATACACAGAATCCATTAAAAGGTAATGTGGAATATGTAAAAAAAAGTATAAACAAGTATTTTGAATTTGAACCCTTCACTTTATCTAGCGTTCAAATTATTTCGCATAGTTACTAGTACTAGTAGCAATTTTTAATTCTTAAAGATTTGTTTATCTTATTTACTTGCAGTGTCTTTTCTCTACATGTCACTTGTCTTCTGTGATAACATTCTTATAATTTTCCTGATGTTGCACATAAAAACTTCATTAATAGTCATTCAAACTACACTTAGCCTACATATTTTTCCCAAGCTGGACTGTCACAGCTGGAAAAACAGTTCTTGGTTTTGCCAGGCTGTATCTTTTCTTTACTTTTCTTTTTTTAAGACTGCATGGACGGCATGTTCTGTTGTGCTGGTCCATATTAGCCTATCCAATAAACCAATCTCTCTGTACCAGCACCCAACTCACAATCTTGAAATGTGCTTAGTATCGACCAATGTGAATAAATAACTTTGTTATTTGGAAAAAGCCTAAAAAGTAAAGCCAAAAACACCTCAGCAAATGGATTTCTTATCAAAAACGGTCTGACATTCTGTGGCTCCACAACAGTTCCAATCATAGCATTTATTATTCATTTTAATTAACTTTTAAATTTTCGTTTTTCTTTTGATTTCAAGTTTCAGTGCTTTTGTTATTCTCTTTTGTCAATTTTATAACATTTGTAATAGTTCTCGTTACACACTTCAAATGAAAGAATGAAAGGTTGTGTATTGGCACAGTTCCATGAATAAACTTCCACATCCATAGAACCCTTTCTATTGCACAAAAGGTTCTTTATTGTGGAGCAAAAGCTGTCTTACAGGCGATTACTGTCTCCTGAGAGGAGACTTTACTTTATCACCGCCAACAGAATTATAAACAATATGACCTTTTATTGACCAAAATTACAAAAGATGTCCAGATATAAATATGGAGCTAAATCAGTGCCTGTCATGTTATAAAAAAGTAGTCCTAATTCACAATATGGCATAAAGTAAAATGTTTGTGCAGGCCAGCCAATTTCCTGTGGCATTTACCAGAGATAAAGTTGTTAGGCGATTTATCTTTTGAGTAAAATCTAACCAATGTTTGATTGTACTGTGGTCTTGTTTTCCCTCTATGAAGGGTAAAAATCAATTATTCATCACTATCCCCTCACCTTTCTGCCTCCTTTTTAGCATGCCAGACAGCTGTCTCCAAACTGACATTGAAAACCTTGTGCTCTCATTACAAAATGTGTTCTCATTTCTCATTTACTTTATTGAGAAAAAACATTCAACCATTCATGAAATGTAAACTTTCATACCCAAATGCATTACCTCATATTAACCCAGACCTTTGTATTGATGAAACATCATGGGACCAACCCTGGAATTATTATTCCAATTCTCATTTTCCTTGTATTTGTTGATGTTTGTTCTGTTTAACTTGGGAAAGAGCCCTCAGACTGCCACTGTGTTTATGAATAATTTCAGTCAAATATTGTTTTAGCCCTGGGCATGAGAGGGCTCTGTCTGGGGGAGAATTTCAGCTTCCTGTTATCAAGACGCTCAATATTATTTCATAATCATTTGCCGTTTTTGTGTACAAAAATAATGTATTTTTAACTGATAGCCTACTCAAATCGTTCTGACACATTTCCGACAGACAGTGAAACCAAACCGCAGTCTTACTCTTCATCCATATTAATATCCACACCATCTTGACTATAGATGATTTGATTCTAAACTAATTAGACATTGAGAAATTACTTCCCAGGGTTCAAAGTAATCTACCGCAAACATCTTTGATAGAGTGCACTCATGATAAAGTGACAGGAATGGGAATGCAGCAGATTGAGTAAACAGCAGCTCTGGACACCGCACTTCTGAAGTCTTGAATAATGTGTTTATATGGCGCTATGCTCTCTGCACACCACCTGCCCTATGAATCCAACTTCAGGGAAACAGGAGCCAACACCTGGGTTTAGTGTCACTAACACTTGTCCAAATGAGCAGCAATCCACCAAATATGTTTGCACCAAAGTGAATTTACTTTAATGTTTCCCTAATGATGTTTTTGTGTAAACCTAGGGAGACTACACATGAACTTCATATTCTCTAACATCTTTAGTGTTTACAGCTGTTTATGGAATCCCTAAAAGTGGCTTGAAGTAGATCTAACACTCTAAAAACTGTTGAAAGATTCTCATGCTTTATCATCTCAGTGAAGATATTCACAATCTACAAAGAATACTACAAAATATGCATTTATTTAGCCTTAAAACAGAAAAGACCAAGTCGTCGATTGCATCAGTTTCAATAACATGAATATATGAGCAGGAGAATATATATGAAAGGGGTTACGTGTGCTTTGATGACTTTATTTGTTCCCTTAGAATGGGCTCGTTCTTATGAAAGTCTTCGTTTTGACATGACATCTCCGTTTCAGTTATCTGCAAAAGCCAGCTGCAGGGCAAGCACTCACATCTTGTAATCCACTTCATCAGAAGAAGATTCAGCCTGAATAATCCTTGGTTCACTTAGGTGACCTTAAACATTAAGCAGTGTTCATTACGTCAAACCATGTCACTACTTGATCAAGTTCTGGAAAGTGAGGCAAAGCAGATGCCAACTTCAGGAACGGCAGGTTGCCAAGTCTGCGCTCATTAGTGGTGCGAGGGATTCTGTGCCCTATGGATAGCCTTCTGCTCTGGCTCCACCTGTTTAAATAATGTTCATTTGTGGGCTCCTCCAAGCATAATGCCCTGTACTTTATGTGATTTTTGCCAAGTAGGATGCAATCTTAGATTAACATCTATGTTGATCCTGAAACATCAATCCTATTCAAAAATATAATCCATACCTTATCCCTACCCCCAAACCTAACCCTAACCCAAAATCAGAGGACAGTATTAGTTGGATAACAATAATGTAGAATCACATAACCCTAAGTGATAGTCTAAACTTTACATAAACTGCAAATGTACCCCTTAAATCAGGCATGTCCAAACTCGGTCCTGGAGGGCCAGTGTCCTGCAAAGTTTAGTTCCAGCCCCAATCAGACATACATGGGCTAGCTAATCAAGGCCTTACTAGGCTTTCTAGAAACATCCTAGCAGGTGTGTTGAGGCAAGTTGGAGCTAAAATCTGCACAACACCGGCCCTCCAGGGCTGAGTTTGGACACCTCTGCCTTAAATCCAATCCAATGTCGTTCCAGGATAAACAAAAATGTTGATCCAGGAACATGTCCTACTTGGTGAAATCACTCTAACCCTGTGCACCATGTTTCTCTTTACCATCCAGTTGCAATACTACTGGTTGTGCTACACCTCAGACTCACTCCTGACAGGGATCTGCAGGTCCAGAGTGTGATTACAGAAGCGGTAGACCACAGACCAGCTTGCCTTCCTCTTAATGAAGAGACGCAGCTTATCCCTGAAGGTCTCCCCAAGGAAGCTGTAAATTATTGGGTTTAGGCAGCTGTTGGAGAATGCAGCGAGGTTGACAATGTGCCCGGTTAAAGGGTAGTCATGCCATAGTGTTGTGTCAGTACGCTTCGATGGATCGGCTGTGCCTTGGAGTAGCTGGATGCTAATGAAGACATTCTCGGGAAGCCAGCAGATGAAGAACACCAAGACAACCACCACAATCATGCGCAGGGCCTTTTGTCGTCGAGGCCACAATCCCTTGTGCTTCTGGGCACGCATGAGAGTGCGGACAATCAGGGAGTAGCACAGGCCGATAATGGAGAATGGTATTAGAAATCCAATCGTCACCTCGAGCCACTGGATCTCGAAGACATTGGCGAAGCAGAAGTGCACCTCACCGGTATGTTGCGTCTGCACAATTGTGAAAGGAAGCAGAGTTGCCAGGATGGAGGCCATCCAGATGAGGCTGCAACTGAGTTTGGCATGCTGCATGGTTCGCAATGGACTGCTGCTCATAGAGCTGGTGAGAGCAACGTAGCGGTCGAAACTCATCCATGTCAGGAAGAAGATGCTGCTATACATGTTTACCTGGAGAAAAAGCGACATGAAGGTACACAGTACAGCATAGTCGTAGTACTTCTCGTTGAGATTGAAGACTTCAATGAGAGAGTCTGCCACCAGAATAAGATCTGCCACAGCCAGGTTGACAAAGTACAGATCTGGGATGGTCATCCTCTCCCTGTGGTTGAGGTTGACCACCAAAATGAGGATGTTCCCAATGAAACCAATTGGGAAAAGGAAAATGGTGTACAGGCATGAGAGAAACAGGCCGATGATGTAAAACTCATAGGTGTCTGTGCTTTCTTTCACATCAGTTATGTTGAAGTCAAACGAAGCATTGAACTGCTCGGTGCCATTCACATAAATCTGAATCACATTGGTAGTCTGCTCCTCCATGCTGACCAGGTCTCTGTTTTAGATGCTGTAAAAGGTGCTACATACTTCATCTGTGTCACTGCCCAGTTCACTTTGTAATGAGGGTCCTTCATTTAGGATGCATTCGCATTGTGACGGCAACTTGATGTATGCTTAATGTTTGGTAGATGCCATCCATGAAGATTTGCCTCTAGAGATGGAGCCTGGGTTGAAGACCTCCATTTTCATGGCAGTCTCTCAGCTATGGAGGCTGCCTGGGCTTGTGTGATCCATGGCACTAACACCTAGAGTCAGTCCTTAGGGATCTTGCTTCTTTTTTTTCTTTTGCACGCTTTGTTTTTCACACGTGTTTAGTCCAGCGCAGTCTTGTTTCCTCCAGTCCATGAGCATGATTTTTTAGTCTTACCAATAACAGCACAGCTGCAACACCTGTTATAAGAGAAAGAGAATGGAAATAATATCTGAAATAACACAATATTAAAATACAGTATTACCATCATTAGATCAAGATTGGAAAGTTGTTTAATCTTGCCAGAATTTTGCAGATTTTAACTCTAACACACATGCCCAGACGTTTCCACTAAATCTGATGACCCTAGTTCACTGGTAGTTAGGATAGGATGGGGCACCCTAACCACTTCCTGAAGAGCCAATAGCTGTTTCCATCCACCTATTTATATGCGCATTTGAGGAAATCACATAAAATGCTTAATGGAAACACCAAGATGCACATAGTTTGTCCTACAACTTTGTAAGTAAGATAAAGTTTTTAGCATACAAGAATAAAATACTGAATAAATTCCATGTTCAAGTCATGTGAACTGTCTTATACAGCTGTGCTCTCTCTCTCTCTCTCTGTCTCTCGTGCCTCCAAAAGCCACAACACGTTCATTGCATGTAATCTTTTCTGATGCAATTAATTTATTATATAATTAATAACAGTAATAACAATAAGGACCACAGTGTTCCACAGCAAATAATTTACGTGATATTCCAGTTTTGCCTATAAATCTAATTCGCATCTTTGCATGAAAGCATAGCTAATGTAATGCAGAATATATCTCTGATCCTAATTACACACAACTAAGCCAGTTAACCAAGAGGTCTGTCGACCTAAAGCGATGCTCCACAGTCCAATGACGTCAAAGTACCACACGAGCAATTGAAGAGCAGATGGCTATGTATGTTTTTAAATCACTCTTGTTGTATTTTGATGTCATTCACTGATTGGTCTGTGCAGTGCAGCTTAGAGCCTAACACATCTACTGTCTTCGGTCACACTAAAAAATTACAGGAAATTATGTTTGGAGTTTGTAGGAGTTAAAGTTGGAATTTGAACGACAGTGGCTCTTCAGAAATAGGATTAAACATTCCTGGGTGGGAGCTACAATCTAATGGTCATTGGACATTTAGGATGAGGTTTGGTCAAGTCTGATTTAAAAGGATACCTCACGCAAAAATCAAAACTTTGTTCTGCCATCATTTATTCATCTTCATTTCAGTCCAAACCAGTATGACTTCACTCATTTTGAATAATGCTTGAATTTGTTTTATCACCTGAAAGTGAACTTTAGCAAGTGGACCAAAAACAGAATGCATTTTTTCATTGTTGAAGAACAAACCTGTTCATGGAACTCAGACTTCTTAGCAGTGCCACTGCAGAGAGTGAAACTCAAAAGTGTGTCCAAAACAGCACTACAGCTCACTTTCTTTTTGAAAAATACTGAACTACATGAGAAAATGTTGCCCCTAGCATCTGAAGGCATGTTATGTTCACACATACAGATTTCTCAGAGGTCTTTGTAACAGTTACGGGAAATTTTATGGATACAAGGTACATACAAAACCAAGAATTCTGTCCCAGATTTGGCATAAAGCTGGAATAATAGGCATTCGTCCAGCACTGGCTTACAGCATGTGGGCCAAACATGGCCCAGGTTTGGCAGAGGTGGCATCATCTTTAAAACTTGAGCTAGATATCAAATGTAGTATTTGTACCAGATATGTTTGGCATATCTTGACCTACTTTTAAAATACATTTAAATTATTTTTTGAGTAAAGAAAAAAATCGACCAGGTCACTTTGAGAAAAAGCTTGCCCATAATGCACCTAAAGCAAAATGCTTCATGATTTTATCAAATTCATTGCAGTCCTGACACACTAACATAACTAGACCAGTTCAGACCCAGTTATGGGTTATCAACTTGGCTGAGACTTGGCATAGATATGGTCCATGTTTGGCCCTTGTATGCAAGCCAGACTTGGTCCAATCATGTACCGTAATTCACTGTGGCAGGTGGGTTAAGCAAAAGCTGATTGTCTAGGCCAGAGAATATTTGCTATGAGGGGAAATATGCTAAAATATTTTTGTATTTTTTGTTAAAGGGGTTGCTCCCACATGATCTCTTTATGAGAATTTACTGGTTATATAAAACCTGTAAGGGTGAAAGTTACTGAAGTCATACAATTTCGGAACAATGGGGGCAGATGTGACATAATGGTTAGCATGCTAACTATTTGGCAAGTTTTACTTGCTATCCTAAGGTCATATGCATGAGTCCCGGCACCACCACAAATACGGAGTGAAAAGTCTCTTTGATCCTCGATACCATGACTGAGGTGAGTCCCTTGAGCAAGGCACCAAACCCCCATCTGCTCTCATGGCAGCACACTGCTCCGAGTGGGTGTTCACAATTTGTAAGTGTACTTGTATTAGTAATACAAATATGGCAAAACCAATATATTTAGACATTTTGGGGACATTTTTGTCCCTGTTAGGAAACTGCTTATAAATCATCCAAAATGTTGTATTTTATTTTATTTAATTTTCCTTCCCTTTATTCATCAGGTGTCACCACAGTGGAAAGAATCGCTGACTTATCCAACATGTGTTTTACGCAGCGGATGCCCTTCCAGCTGCAACCCAGTACTGGGAAACACTACATACACTATGGCCTAATTTAGCTTACCAGTTCACCTATAGCGCATGTTTTCAACTGTGAACCGGAGCAGCCGGAGGTAACCCATGCGAACACGGAGAGAACATGCCAAGTCTACATAGAAATGCCAAGTGACCCAGCCAGGGCTCGAACCAGCATCCTTCTTGCTGTGAGGTGACAGTGCTAACCCCTTGAACCACCCTGTTACCCTGTGGATTTTTAAAAATGTCAAAATGCAGATTATTTTCTGTGAGTGTTGGGTTTAGGGGTATAAACTCAGTGTACAGTATAAATCTTTACATCATTTGGAAGACCCTATAAAGACAGCTGTACAAGTATGTGTGTAAGAGAAAGAAAGTTAGAGAGAGAGAGAGATTTTGAATCTTGTTTGCATCTATACGCAATTATACTAATTGCGTATAGATGCAAACATGAGGCTAAGCAAATGATGACAGAAAGTGTTTGGTTCAATAATTTAATTAATGCACATTACGTTATATAATATTACATTTCTCCTTTTGTAATTGATAGGAGCACTCATAACAGTTTTTTTTAATTGATTAACCTCAAGGATTGAGTGTGTAAAAGCTGATTAAAATGCAAAGCGTCTTAAACAGATGCATTGAAGCACCCTGAGCTGTCAGACCCATGTGCTGAACTCACAACTATTAAACAGCAAACACTCAGGCTGAACAACTGCTTCATGGAGATAGACAAATAGATTCTCACACTACTCTACATAACATTATGATCGAAACTGATTTTGTGCCACAATAATGTGTTTTGATTTCAGAAAGATAGACTGTCAAAGGAGGTGAACAGCGATCATTCTACCCTGACAGAGTGTTAATGGGTGTCAAAAGGAAAAAAAAGAAAAAAGAATCTCATCATTGCTTTACCAATTTTAGATTCTTTTGCAATATCATAGTGTATATCATGAATAATGATGAGTAGTGAATAATGATGTTTCAAATATAAATCTAATATCCCATGCTTTTTAATGTACAGTGCACCCGGAAAGTATTCATAACGCTTCATTTTTTCCACATATTTTTATGTCACAGCCTTATTCCAAAATGGTTTAAATTAATTTATTTCCCCAAAATTCTACACACAATAACCCATAATGACAATGTAAAAAAAGATTTTTTTGAAATTTTTGCAAATTTATTAAAAATAAAAAACCTGAAAAAAATCAAAATTACAAAATCAAAATAAAAAATTACAAGTATTCACAGCTTTTGCCGTGAAGCTCTAAATTGAGCTCAGGTACATTCTGTTTCCACTGATCATTCTTGAGATGAATGCAGCAATGTACTACAGAGACACCCTGAGTGAAAACCTGATTCAGAGTGCTCTTGACCTCAGACTGGGGCGATGGTTCATCTTCCAGCAGGTCAATGACCCAAAGCACACCACCAAAATATCAATAGAGTTGCTTCACAACAACTTGTTGAATGTTCTCGAGTGGCCCAGCCAGAGCCCACACCTAAATATTATTGAACATCTTTGGAGAGATCTGAAAATGGCTGTACACCGTCGCTTGTCATCCAACCTCATAGAGGTTGAGAGGTACTGCAAAGAGGAATGGGCAAAAAATTCCCAAAAACAGGTGTGAAAGCTTGTGGTATCATATTCAAGAAGACATAAGGCTGTAATTGCTGCCAAGGGTGCATCAACAAAGTATTGAGCAAAGGCTGTGAATACCAGCCTGATCTCACGAGAAAACGTAAGTATTTTACGTATTGCCAGTTTAGTGGCTAATTCGTACGAGTTCAGTCGTACGAAATGGTACGATTTTAAAAAGGAGGCGTGGCACCTGACCCCACCCCTAACCCCAACCGTCATTGGGGGATAAGCAAATCGTACTAAATTGTACGAATTAGATCGTACGAATTAGCCACTAAATGAAAAAGTTACGAATTGCCGTGAGATTGTGTTGGTGAATACTGATGTACATGTGATTTTTTTATAATTTAAAAAAAAAAAATTTTATGAATTTGCAACAATTAAAAAAAATCACATTGTGGTTATGGGCTATTGTGTGTAGAATTTTGAAGAAATAAATAAATTTAATCCATTTTGGAATAAGGCAGAAACAAAAAAAAAAAAAAAAAGTAGAAAAAGTGAAGCGCTATGAATACTTTCCTGATGCACTGTATATGCTGTGAAGCATTTACCATATATTTAAAACTGAGATGCTTAGATATAGAATTTGTATCCATTAAGATTAGAAGTATATTAACGAGAAATAAAATTGGGTGAAAATGATGACCTTGACTAGGCAATCAGTGCATATCTGACTGACTCTTTAGTTTCTACTTAGAGTAACTATGACTTTCTCCGATTGAATTCTCTAGAGCCAAATATAAATGTGCATAATTTTAATCAATTTGAGGGCAACACCAATTTTGTAACGAGAAAGAAAGTCGGCGGTTTTAATGAGGTCTGTTTGACCGCCCTGGACTCAAAATACTTTAACCTTTAATAGAACGAGCCTGGAATAAAATGGTCAGCATGCCACAGAAAACTCTAAGAAGTACAGCCAGTGATCCAAATTTAGACCACTTATTGTCAGTCATAAAGGGTTGGATATTTGAACACCGTAGATGGTTTTGACATGAACGGTGTGATCAAATGCAGTTTTGTTTTTGATCGAATTAATAAAAATGGAAAGTATTTGTCATCAATAATCTTATAATATACAGTTGAAGTCAGAATTATTATAATTTTTTTCTTCTTTTTAAAATATTTTCCAAATGATATTTAACAGAGCAAGGAAATGTTCACAGTATTTCTAATAATATTTATATTTATATATTTTTTTATAATATTGTTTTATTTCGGCTAGAAGAAAAGCAGTTTTTAATTTTTTAAACACCATTTTAGGGGCAAAATTATTAGCCCCTTTAAGCTATATTTTTTTCTCGATAGTCTACAGAACAAGCCACTGTTATACAATAACAGTGCCTAGTTAACGTAATTAACCTAGTTAAGCCTTTAAAAGTCACTTTAAGCTGAATAGAAGTGTCTTGAAAAATATCTAGTCAAATATTATTTACTATCATCATGGCAAAGATAAAATAAATCAGTTATTAGAAATGAGTTATTAAAACTATTATGTTTAGGAATGTGTTGTAAACATCTTCTCTCCATTGAACAGAAATTGGGGGAAAAATAAACAAGTGGTCTAATAATTCAGGGGGGTTAATAATTCTGACTTCAACTGTATATGTTGTATTTGTTTTGAGTGGACATTAGGGGCTGTTAAACTAAACTGTGCTTCTGTAATCTTATAACATGTTTGCTTTCATTTCAGAAGTCATATAACAGATGCAACATTGAGAGTCAGATTGTGTAATTTATTCCAAGCCCATTCAGACTTCACCGCTGCATAACAGATAAAGCCTAAAATGACATCTTCTTCAAAAGACCCCACAGGACAATGCGATTCTTCCCTGAAGTGAATCTGGGCATTTTCTCACAGATGCAAGATGACATGAGCAATTCATCAGGATATTAGTGATGGAGCAGTCACATCAACAAAAGACAAGCACACATGCGCTCGGATAATTGAAAGGCTCATTTGGGGAGAGAGAGAGATGCACATTATGAAGTCTCAATGACTGTGCGTCCTCATCAAGTGTTCTCAACTATTTGAAATCTCTCAAGTGCATCTGTGAAATGAAGCTGCTGAATGGGAAACTTCTGATATCTGCGTGATGTTCAAGGGTGGTTTATTCTGGTTCATCATGCTTTTGTGCTGTTCTTTCAGGTGCAAGAACAAATTAGCATTTTCTCATTATATTCTGTGAGACATTGTGGCCATTACAGTAGCTCAAAAAAGATTAAAAAAAAAGAAACATTATTGTAGATTTGGCCAAATTTTCTTGCTGTGTCTTTTTTGTTGTTGTTGTTTAATCTACTAATATTGCATACAGTTTCAGTGACTGGGGGTGTAGTAGATACAGTTGAAGTCAGAATTCTTAGCCCCCCTGAATTATTAGCTCCCTTCTTTATGTGTTCCCCAATTTCTGTTTAACGGAGATCAGATTTTTTTCAACACATTTCTGAACATAATAGTTTTAATAACTCATTTCTAATAACTGATTTATTTTATCTTTGCCATGATGACAGTTTCCCAGAGATGGGTTGCGGCTGGAAGGGTAAAAACTTGCTGGATAAGTTGGCGGTTCATTCCGCTGTGGCGACCCCAGAATAATAAAGGGGTTAAGCCGACAAGAAAATGAATGAATGAATGATGACAGTAAATATTATTTTATATTTTCAAGACACTTCTATACAGCTTATAGTGACATTTAAAGGCTTTATTAGGTTAATAAGGTTAACTAGGCAAGTTAGGGTAATTAGGCAAGTAATTGTATAATGATGGTTTGTTCTGTCGTAAAAATATATAGCTTAAAGAGGCTAATAATTTTGACCTTAAAATGGCTTTAAAAAATTTAAAACTGCTTTTGTTCAAAAATAAAACAAATAAGACTTTCTCCAGAAGAAAACTAATTATCAGGCATACTGTGAATATTTCCTTGCTCTGTCAAACATATTTGGGAAATATATAAAACAGAAAAAAAACTCAAAGATGGGCTAATAATTCTGACTTCTACTGTATATAATTTATGTGTAGGTATTTTCTTTTAACATTTTTATTCTCTATGTATTTTATGTTTGTTATTTTAGTTGTCTAGCACTGGTATTTTCATTTATTTTCTTTATATCTACAGTAATTACATTTTTATTGTTTTACCTACCTTGAATTTAACAATTTAAATTTCCTTTTAAATTCAACAATAATAAAATGAATGAGTTATTTAATAAATAATAATTATCAATGAATAACCTATTAATAAAATAATGCAGAAAAATGATAATAAACATTCAAAATGTATATGATGGAACCAGATGTTAACAAAAGTAATTTAATTTAATTTAATTAAGTACTTTAAAAAATTGTAAAAAAAAAAAAAAAAAAAAAAAAGTAGTTTTATGTTTTTTTTTAAATTTCCGACAGCTGGGGTGGTGATAAAAAATGAAACGGAAAAAAATTGACATTAAATTACATAAATTTCCTTAAATATATTATTGCTGGTAAATTTCTGTAAATTATTGTCTGTTTTTTACGGTACATTTCTGTAATTTAACAACCGTTATTTTCTGTTTTTTTTTTTTTTTTTTTTACAGTGTATATTTTGTATTATTTTGTTATTTTATAATTAATTTGGTCTTATTTTTAATTAAGTCATTTTCGTACCAAAAAAAAAAAATAATTTTTTGTCATTATCTAATACTTATAATAAATTTTAGCTTTATATTATAATATAAATTACAAAAAAAAAAATATTAATGCTTTTATTATTTTTTTAGCTAATAAGAATATATATAACCAAACATAAGTTTTGTTTCACTCTGGGTTAACATGTTTGTTCAATATATTTTTGTAATTTTAGCACTTAATTTAAGTTTTTATTCATTACTTTATTTTTATTTTTTATGTTATTTTTTTTTACATTGACAAAGTGATTCTTATGAATTCTTATTAATTAGGACATTTTTTGTGCATTTAAAAAAAAAGATATATTTAATAAAAATAATATTTTAGTCACCAAACATCTTTAGAAACTGAAAGATAATACAATTAAATTCAAGAAAGATATTGCAAAAAGAAATGACTAAATACTAAATTTCAACTAAATTTTCCTCTTTTTTTTTAAATTTGTATTTAATATTTTTCTATAACATACATTTGGGTGGTTTTGGACCATTATCATAAATTATTAGATAAGCTTTAGATTTGTCTTCAGTACTGACTAATCTAATGTATATGCACAAATATGATATTGAACAGCTTCCTATTAAACATATGAATAAATGATAGATTTGTGAGAGGTGTACTTATATATGCTGAGCATTGAATATATCCTTAGGGCTTGCAGTATGTTAATATATTCAGTGAACGTACAGTGTTCTTCTAAAGTTCTTCTAAATAGATATTGAATTAAAAAGAACACTGTACATTCACCGAATATATTAACATAACGCAAGTCCTAATCTGAGTGAAATGCCATCAGCATCCAGAACACTAAATGTGATGCTTACCAGAAATTGACTCTTTCTAAGAAGTATTATCAATTATTAAAACCATGAATTGTAGTGAAAAGTCACTCACTTTATTCACGAGGGCTTGAGATGCAGTCAGTAAAGAGTTGCTGCAGATTTGTAATCCTTTAACCAGAACAAGAATCACCGCCTGCACCTACTGTTAAAAAGACAACCCGCTGTTATCAGGGAGAAGATCCAGAGAAGAATATGACCACAGCTTCCTTTCTTCGCGGACACTTGTTCACTAGCCACCCCTTTACCACCTTCTCCTCCTCCTTCTCCTCCTCCTCCTCCTCCTCTTCCTTTCTCTCTCTCTCTCTCTCTCTCTCTCTCTCTCAGTTTACAAAGACTGTGTTTGTGTTCAGTTATAATAAATATGGAGAAAAAGGAAAGGGGTGTCTGTTAAATTTTACAAGCAAAAATGGCAATATACATTAGTAGGAGGCGTTTCTTTGAGACCAATTTTAATGTTCAGCTGATTTTTACAGGACTTATAAGAGCAAGAATAAGGCATGATTTTAATATCTATTTATCAATGAAACAGTTGGACAAGTCTGAAGGCATTTGGGGTGTAAAAATATGTTGTGTTGGGTTGAAAATAGTGTATTGTTTTTTGAGGAAAACATTGTGTGATTTGGAAATATGTTTTTGTTTTAATCGATGAAACAGGCTGTAGTTTAAAATTTAGTATTAAAGGGGTGGTCCACTATGATATCATTTTAGATGAGCAGGCGTGAGGTTCAGATGTGTCCTCTGTGTCATTTTCTGTCTGATTCAGGCTTAAACTGATACATCTACAGATAATCTGACTGACAGTATTTACACAACAGAGGTAAAGCGCATGCTATGTCACTTTTCATGGTGTCGTGGAGCCGATCCGCGAATCAAAGCACATTATGTTAGCTGACCAATCAGAGCCTCTTGAGAGCAGGCCTTTAGGAGGAACTAGGAAATATGATAGTCGTTTTCATGTTAGCTGCAGATAGGGCTCAAACTTTGCAGTGCACATGCCCTTTTTTTCTCTTTTAAAGTGCCCTTCAAAAATGAACTAAATTGCCCCCACCCCCCTTCAGCTCATAACCGTCTCTCATCTAACCCCAATCCCCCTTTGCTTTGCATCTTATAAACACAACCAAGCCTTTAAAATTCACTCTGGATCACCCCTTTAAATAAAGGTGTATTAAATTTCAACAATTCTCTCTCTCAGTTTGTCAATTCAACTCAAAATTGCTTTATTAGCTTGACTGTTAAAGTCAGAGATTGAAAGTAACGAAGTGCAAATACTATCAATACTTTACTCCAATATTTATTTTTCTGACAACTTTTTACTTTTACTTCTTACATTTTTACACAAATATCTGTTTTTGTGCTCTTTACATTTTAAATCAGGCTCATTACTTTCGCTTTAAAGTGTTTTGTGGCACGATCTATATTATTTCTTGTCATTGCACTATTTGAACGCGGCATTGCGTGGCCTTTTCAACCTCTGCTCGCGCACGGTAAAAAGGCTTGTTCCTTAAGCTTACCATGGGAGCGGTGGACGAGACAAAGGGAGTCTGTGATTAATGTCATGTTTATCCAGGGTTCAAGATGCGTTTTGGTCGATCGGATCATAGCTAAAACAAGAGACGCGTTTCTGTTTAAATCTGGCATTTAAATGGGGTTAAAGGCTTTTGTCTACTTGCGACCATGTGGTGTAGGCTACATCTCTGATCTCTCAATCTACTACCACAGGGGAACCCAGGCTCATTCTGGAAGCGTAGCCCCACAGGACATTTCTGGAGACAGCGAATTACGTCCCGGGAGGTACGTATTTGTGCAGTTTTTGTTTTCGGGAATCTGCGAGAGGCCGCTGTGCGTGCTATTTTGCATCTCGAATGCCTCTCTCACGTAAAGCCGCCGAAAGCTGCTGTCGAGCAACCATCTGTCCGACTGACTGACTGAATGACTGAACGATTGACTGCCTCCTCTTTCTCCTCCTCATTCCCTAAACGTAAGCAACGATTTACAAAAGCCGTCCAGAAAAAGAATAGCCCTCGTCTGATTTTGACCGCGTTTTCGGATTTTACCACATTCTCGCCCCATTATAAACTCGTTGGCTTTAATTTTTGGATTCTGTTTTTTGTCTTACCTGATTTCTGGCACTGCTCTTCCCCGGACTCGAACCCGGTCATCGTGGCCGGCTCCCCTCCAGGCCTCCGCTGACGTAACATGACGAGCTAACCGGACAAACTGGTTACGGTGGGAAAGCCCTCCACACGGAGGTGAGCCATCACCCGGCGAGCGCGAAGAGGAGCGGCGTCACAACGCCCTGTAGCGTTTGCTTGAAAAAATGAAATACAGCCATACATACCTCCGGCTTTGTAAATCGCGGTCTCTAGAAATGTCCGCGGGGCTACGTTTTCAGAAAGAGCTTGGGTTCGAACAAAAACATCTATCATGTGCTTTTTTGTCAGAATTTGTACAGTTAATACTAACTAAATTCAATATCGAATACATTCAATTACGTTTATTTCCTTTGTTTCCAACGAGTTTATATTTCCTAGTACAGAATGTATAATGTTTTTAACATGTATATTATATAGACTGTAGTCTTCATTTAAATTTGTTAGATAGATTGTTGTTAGATACATGTTTTAGAACATCAAAACTATTTATACTGGTCATTTATAAATAAAAATATATGGCTAAGGATCAGGAAGAAATGCAGAAATGTATTAACAGAATTAATAACATTAAAACAAACAAACAAATCATATGAGCTGCATGATTGTTGCTGTTTGAAGAAAATGAAGCAGCTTTAGCATAATGCAAACAACACTTTGTAGTTAATTAAATTCAGTTTTTATTTTATCAAAAAAAAAAAAAAAAAAAAAAAAAAATATATATATATATATATATATATATATATATATATATATATATATATAATGTTTTGGACAAAATGAAGTGTTAAATTTAAGATGTTTATTTGTAATAAATACAGCATAGGCAAAATAATTATGTAAGAATATACAAATGGGAATGGCAGCTGTTGTTCTTTTAAGTTAAGTTTTGTGTCCAAATTGGCATTAAAATATTTACAAAAAAATCATAAATGCAAGTTACTTTCTATCGATATACATGATGTGCGGTGTAGTTACCATGAAACTAAATTAGCAAATTAATAATTTTTTACTTAAGTACATATTTCAGGCTGTACTTCATTACTTTTACTTGAGTACAAAAAGTAGTGTAGTCAGTACTTCAACTTTTACTAGAGTCATTTTAAACAAGAGTATCTGTACTCACAGAAAAGGATGTGTGTATTTTTGCCATCTCTGGTTAAAATTATGGCAACACTTTTTAGTCAGGTTGTATTAGTTATTGTTTGTTAAAGTATTTACTGATGAACAAATAATGAACAATACATTTATAACAGTATTTGTTAATCTTTGTTAATATTAATGGAAATTAAGTTGTTTGTTGTTAGATCTTGGTAGCCCACAGTGCATTAACTAATGGTAACAAGCATGCATTTGGGTTTTAATAATGCAGTAGTAAATGTTGAACAATGATTAATAACTGCTGTACAAGTTTTGTCCATTATTAGTTCATGTAAGTAAATACATTACCTAATGAAATCTTATTGTAAAGTGTGACGTGTTCACAGGAGTTTCCTCCAGGATCCTCTAGTCCGAAGATATGTGCTATAAATGAATTGAATAAACTAAATTGTCCGTAGTGTATGAGTATGTATGTGATTGAGTTTCCCAATACTGGGTAGCGACTGGAAGGGCATTTGCTGCATAAAAATATGCTAAAATAATTGGCAGTTCATTTCTCTGTGGCGACCTTTGAAATAGAAACCAAGTCGAAGGAAAATAAATGAATGTAAAGTGTAGCCAAAATACAACATTGCCTTAAAATATAAGTGGAGACATATAAAAACATTGAAGAAACACAAACATCCTAATGATTTAAGGAACAGTGACAAATAAGGACATGGGTGAACATTTCATACACCAGTGTTTAACACAGGCAGACGGTTAGTGTGGTGGACAGTAGGGAAACATGCTCAGACGTCAGGCGTAATGCACACATTATACACTTGTTCATCTCCTGTCACACATGTGGACAGCATCAATATCAGGAGACCCATCAATGACAGATGCTTAGCTAGCACAGGACATATGGTTCCTGACATGGCTCATTTCATCTGTTTTCAAACCGTTGTGACAGCCATGACACCAGTGCTCATTAGTCTAATTTTAGTTCCAAGAATAATGAAGAATTAACAAGATCTGTGATGAGACGTCTGTTGTGTGATTTCATCAAGAAGTACTGTGAAGATATTTAATACCCTTGGTCATGGTGTATATATATATATATATATATATATATATATATATATATATATATACTTCTTTGTTTAAATAAAGGTAGTGCTAATAGATTTGTAGATGATATGGCTGTATGATATAATGCCAAAACGTGTTATGCTGTTTGAATTTTATCATTCAAGTAGTTTGTTACAGCTGTTTATGAATGTAAAGGGTTGGAAAAGTTTAAAAATCTAAGTTTAAAGGGTACCTATGATAAAAATTAACTTTTTAAGCTGTTTAAAACTGAACTGTGTAAGTATAGTGTGTCCACAGTCATACTGGGGTGACATAAAGACAATAATTCTCTTTTTTAAATTTCCTGATGGTAAAATAGGATCCAAATCGTTCCCATTTTGAAGCCCACCGCAAAGTGAGTAAGGAGTGCTGTTTCTCCGGCAACCGAATTGATTGACAGCCGCGTATTAATAGGTCTCTGTAATAACGCATATAATCATATCCACAAGACAGGATGTGCAACTGGAATTAAAAGATCTGTTCAGCTCTCTGTGATCATCATTTATCATCAAGTGTGATCAAGAAAGAGTTTTACAAGTTTAAAAGTTTTTAAAACATTGCATGTTTGCACTGAATTACAATGATTTTACCATCTTTATCACCACAGCCGCATCTCAGTACAATTATAAAAGAAGATGCTTCAATCCCAGTTTGTGGATGATAAATCAGTTTGTTTTTTTTTTTGTTTTTTTTAACGGATAACGGATGTCCATACAGCAGTGGATGTTAACGTGTATCCATTTGCCATGCAAAAACAGTGCAAAGTTAAAAGCGCACGCTGTGTGTCTGTGCCTGTGTGTGTATGCCTTAACTTAACAACATTGTGTGTGACTCATCGAAAGGCTTGAATTCACTCCACAACAAATACATCAAATAATGATTGGGATGCTTTCTTACTGTAGTATTTCTCACAAACGTTACGTGAAATCTGCTTCCTTCATGTCTGTCACTGTGCTGTTTATCTGAGCTGGAGATTGAGGTACACTCTGACAGGCATGAGGGAATGGTGGGGGAGAACTGGCATTAAAGGTGCAGGCAACAAAAACAGCTACATTGTGTTCAGAGCAGAAAATCCAATATTCTGAAAGGTAGAATAAATGATATGATGTGTATTTTGAGCCGAAACTTTACAGACACATCAAAAGACATATCTTAAATCTTGAAAAAGGGGTAAAATAGTTGCCCTTTATGGTAAATATTGTTTTGTTTCCTGAATAAAAGAACCATGCAAGCATTGTGTGTGTGTGTGTGTGTGTGTGCGTGCGTGCGTGCGTGTGTGTGTGTGTGTGTATAATAGATGTCCAAACAGACATCTTGGCTAAAGCAAGGATAAATTTGGGTCAGTGAAAATCAAATTAACTTCTAACAAATTAACTTCTTTTTCTTCACTATATTTAGACAATAATTAGATTTTCTGACAACCCAAAATTTGCTAATGTTTTGCTAATGTAAGAAAACACATCAGTTTAAATGTCTTTTGGATCAATTAACCAAAATTAACCAAACCTCCTGATTCATATCATCAGCTCATTAGCAGAGACTAAAAGACCTGTAATGGGTGTGAGTGACAGACAAAAGAGACATCCAAAACATTCAGTGTTGATGATCCTTCTGGAGTGTGGTTGAGAAACACTATATTGATGTATTTTAAACACACTGCATGATTCATCAGTGGTTTCCGTGTCAGTTTGTAACAAATTCACATAATATGGTTTTCAGTGTTTGGAAAAGTTACTTTTGAAAGTAATGCATTACAATAGTGAGTTACTCCCCCCAAAACAGTAACTAGTTGCGTTACTTAGTTACTTTTTATAGCAATGTGATACGTTACTTCGGGGTTACGTTTTATTACCTGGCTGAGGCCTGATTTCTTTCAGAACTTAATAGAGAAGCTCTGCAATGAACAACACACTGTATAGCCTACACCTACATTTACCTTTAAAAAACATATCAAAAAATAATATTTTAGGATAATGTCATCAAAGAACCCCAGAGCTATACATGCCATATATACAGATTATTGAATGTTTAAAGCAATGTGTTTGCTACTGTTGTACTATGTGTCTTAAGTAAAATCACTGTCCATTGAGACTATAATCCCCCTTTCCTTTTATTCGAAGCATTTAAAATAATGAACACATTCTCTCATTGACTGCATTATTTAATGTGACTACTTTCATTTTAATCCAGCAATTTATTTTTTAATTAAACTAAAAATTAACTTGCATTACATTTTCAAAAAAGTAACTTAAATATTATAATTTTTTTTTTTGAGTAATGCGTTGCTTTACACATTAATTAAAAGTAATATTATTACGTAACTTGTGTTACTTGTAATGCGTTACACCCAACACTGTCATTGGCTGCCTACAATATTTGATTTTATCACAAAAAGTGTATAGTTGTATTCGAGACATTGAAATGTTTGGTTCATTTTGTTGGCACACTGAAAAGTTCTGAGTGTAAGCAAACCCATTTTACATGCATCTCATCCATAAGTATGAGTATTCTAATCTATACATTCATCATTGCTGCTGTTACTACTCATATTATTGTGTTTACAAATGCTGAGGTGAAACTGAAATTCAGGTTTCTAACAAGATTCAGGTGTCCAATAAGGTTCAAGTTGCCAGTATGTGTTGTAAATAGTCGACCAATCACAGAAGACTAGACCATCAGACCCAACTAAAAGAAGTAGACTTTTGTAAAGGGCATTAGAGATTCTAGATTTTTGTACAAACCATTTCAGAGTGAAAAGTGATGTTGTGTATTATCGAAGCTATCTCATGGCAAATCGTAACTTTTGATTTAGTGGCTATAATTTGTACGAAATCCAACAATCCCATTCATACAATTTCCTCATGGTCCAATGATGTTTGCGTTTAGGGGTTTGTTTGCGATGGCATAGGTGCAACGCCTCCTTTTAAAAATCATAC